GAGACCTGGAACAGCAACCTGCTTAACAGAGACCTGGAACAGAAACCTGCTCCACAGAGACCTGGAACAGAAACCTGCTCAACAGAGACCTGGAATAGAAACCTGCTCAACAAAAACCTGCTGAACAAAGAACTGAGACCTGGAATATGTTCAAGGTCCGCGACCCATAGCGACTATGACTGCCACATCACCCAGGCTGGGTTCCTGAATCCCTATCTGACTCTATCGGTGACATATTAAACCACCAGTACTTGGCCCATACATCAGCCGCGGGCCGTTGCCGTTAATGCTATGCAAAGTTCGGGCTTCCGGGTAGGGGACCTCAATGGCTGGAAGCGCCAGCTAAAAAAAATTGAAACGGTACCCTGGCGCTTCCGCAAAAAATGGTTCTGGTCCCTTAGCCGACAACCCATACATATATATTTATATATATATCGTATATATCGTCAAATAGAACTGCCCGTATATATATATATCGTCACAAATAGAACTGCCCGGTAAGAGAGAGAGAAGAGGACAACAAACGAGGGGCTGTGACAAACTGTTTCGTCGGAGTTTCACCGACTCATCAGGAGGCTGAACCCTCAACAGTCTGCAGAATCCCCTCACTGATTACACTGTAAATGATAATCTACCTTAACCAAAATCAAAGTAGACTATCACTCACCCACACCAGATGGAAAACTCTACAGACTGTCGGTTCACACCCCATCACAAGCCAGCAAAACATCCACGAAACAAAGAAAGGTCTGTCACAGCCAAAAAATACACTCCAGACACGCCGCTGGCACTAGAGGCACAGCATGGCCGCCTAGTAACGGCCCCGACCACTGCCGCTCGACCTGACCGGAAAAAAACGTAGCAGGAAGCTAGCGAAGTCGTAGTATATATCATCACAAATAGAACTATATATATATATATATATATATATATATATATATATATATATATATATATATCATCAAATAGAACTGCCCGGTAAACCGTAGGCAGAGAGGGAGAAGAGGACAACAAACGAGGGGCTGTGACAAACTGTTTCGTCGGAGTTTCACCGACTCATCAGGAGGCTGAACCCTCTATATATATATATGACTACTCTATGGGTGCCATATTATTTACCAGGCTTCTTCCTGGTCTAAGGGACCAGACCAGCAACCAGAGTCATCCATTAGGTATACTTCTTCATCACGGACACTGCCATGCTATCTAAGCCTATCTTTTTCTTAGACGTAGCACAAATTGACTTTCGTAAATTAAATTCGCATACATAATACTATGATAATACATAGCACGTGCTAGGAAGCCATTTCTCTTTTTTCCCTTAATAAAAAAAAAAAAAACTTATAGCCTTCAAAGACACAGCATAGCAGGGGCGGGCAGGATATCATGACCGGTACGATTCCACTTTTAAACACCGTGTCCTGGCTGTAGTGGTTAAGAGACTTGGCTCTTGAGGCCGAGGTCCCTGGTTGAAATCTGTGCGTGCACAGAGGACGGCTTGGGCCCAGACGTACGGAATCCATACTACTACTATTGCTCAGAGAACTTATTTTGTTAAACTCTTTCTTTTCTTTTAGGCATGCCACGTGGCAAGAGCGCGCATTCTTGCACGGCCATGCCACGTTGCAAGAGAGCAAATTCGTCCATAAATGGGCATGCCACGTGATAAGAGATCAAACTACCGTTGTTAGCTCAGTTGGCACACCTATATATGAACTGCTGACATACAGACGTGAGCTCTATTCCAGATGGAACTATGCTGGTTGAGTGAATTTCTGAATTACCTCGGGCCGGTCAGTTCTATGATGATATCTCAAGGCAGTTGCAAAAACACAGATGAAAATTGTTGAAATGCCCCTGAGAGTTGGCGTATTTCGTTAGATACCCCTAAAAGGAATGGGCGTGGCGAAATGCCCCTATGACAGGTGCAAAACTTTGCAAAATACCCCGCTTGCCAATAGGACCTGTCATCTTTTGCATGTACCCCTACCGGGCCCTGTGCAACTTGTCTATATGCCCCGGTATTTCTGGCCGATGGACCCTTCAGTTGGCAAAAGAAATGTGTCAAAAAAAAATTAAAAAAAAATAGTGCCGGCCCGTGACCAGTCTAGGGGCTGGGCTGGGGCAGATGGTGAAGTTTGTGATGCCTGGGACAGGGGCAGATGCAGAAGCTTG